TTCAGCCCCTCTTCTGCCGCTAGCTACAGTAGCTTGAACCCCCCAGGCCAGTAAAATTCTGCCCCCTGCTCAGACCCTGACAGCCCCCCGCTGCGATTTGCCCCCCTTAATCCTTTTAAAAACCCCCAAAGAGGAGGCAGCAAATCGTAAGTAGAAGTAAGGGCAGAGAGAGGGCAGAGAGAGGGCAGTGGCTACAACGAAGGTTACTGGGCATGCTCAGTACACCCAAAGTAGCAAAACGGGAGCGAGAGCACTTTGTGCTGATACACCTTGGCAGCCGGGCCAGAGACCCCGGGGCTGAGGCTCCCCTCGCCCCGCGAAGAGCCCCGCCCCCCGCAGCGCCGCGCCCGGCCGAGGGGCGGGGCTGCCACGGACCAGGCCCCGCCCCCAGGACACGAGAGTTAACCTGAGAAGCGGGGAGGGGCCGGGGGCTCCGGGCGGGGCGCTGTTCTCGAGGGGGTGGGGGTGAGAGGCGCCGGCTGGGGGCGTGGTCTCTGCGAGGGGAGGAGATGAGAGATGGGGAAAGTGGCAGACTGGGCTCGGGGCCCTCCCTTACCTCGGCTGCAGAGGGCGGAAGCGCCCCTGGGGCAGGCTGGGAGATGTAGTTCCTGACTCCCCCGGGAGCGGAAGTGACGTTGGGCTGGGGGGAGGACGAGCCGGGCTGCGAACGCGTCCGGGACGCTGCGGCTCTGCCTGGCTCGTGCGGGGCCGTTGGAGCCTCTCCCGGAGCCGGAGAAGGGATTTGTGCCGCTTGAGCGCTTGTCTCTGTCCCGCCCACAGAGGCTGGGGCACGGACAGATGGAACCCCCGGCCCGCCGTGTTTCCCTGCTCTGGGCATGCGCAGATCGAGGGGGGGCAGAGCCCCGCATGCGCAGAAGCTGCATTTAGCAGAGCACTTGGCACGTGGGCAGCTGCAGCCTCCAGGGACCGGAGCGAGCCCCGGGGGCGGGGCCGGGCGATGACTCTGCCCCAATGTCCGTGGGGGGGACCCGGCATCTCGCAGCGCCGGGATCTGCTCCCTGGGGGCAGCGCCCGCGGGGGGCTCGGAGCTGCTGTCCCCGCAGGAGCCCAACGCCCCCGGGCCCGGCCAGGCTCTGCCCTGGGGCACCACGGGGGAGATCGTGGGGTTGGGCGGGGGCTGCCGGGCTGGGGGGGACCTGGGAAAGGGGCGGGTGGAAAATGTCTCTGCAGCCCAGACGTGGCCGAGGGAGGAGAAGAGCAGGTGACCCCCGAGGAGCGGGGATAGAAATGGGGGGGGGCTGAGATCCCCTCGGATTTATCGCTGTCCCCTCCCGAGGGGACCCCCCCATCCTTTCCAGCCCTGCCCCCCTTCTCTCTAGAGAGCAACGAGCAACAGCCATGGTGACCCCTCCCTTTTTTTTTTCAAATTCATGAGAAGGTCTCTGTTCCCCTCCCCTGATTGTGCCCCATTTTCTCTCTGCTTCGCCAATGGCCAGTTCAATCTCAGGTTTTGGGTGTTTTCCCCCCCATTTTTACCTGCAATGAATTGTCCTTGTTTAGGTGGGAAATCGTTCCCCTGAGTGATTTCTGAACTGGGAAGAGGGTTAATGGGCAGAGGCTGGGAGAGCCCTGAGACAGGTATACCTCTGGGCGGGGGGGGGCCACTCTCTGCTGGCAACAGGGTATGGAAAGGCCCAGGAAGGGAAGGGAGGAGCAAGAGTCTCCCATGGAGACTGCCCTGCCCCAGGCTGCTACCAGTAGCACAGGGGTCGGCAACCTTTCAGAAGTGGTGTGCCAAGTCTTCATTTATTCACTCTAATTTAAGGTTTCGTGTGCCGGTAATACATTTTAACGTTTTTAGAAGGTCTCTTTCTATAAGTCTGTAATATATAACTAAACTATTGTTGTATGTAAAGTAAATAAGGATTTTAAAATGTTTAAGAAGCTTCATTTAAAATTAAATTAAAATGCAGAGCCCCCCGGACAGTGTGAGTGCCACTGAAAATCAGCTCATGTGCCGCCTTCGCCACCTGTGCCATAGGTTGCCTACCCCTGCAGTAGCTCATTTCTATGTGGCCGGGGGCGGGGGGGGGTTCTCCAGCTGGGACCCGCCCCCTGGGCAGCCCCGGGCTTGGCCCGCATCAGCCCCCAAGCCGGAGCCCCCCGCTGAATGAGAGACCGGGGGGGGGGGACTGCTGGGGATGGGCAGGAAAGGGACTGCTGGGGATGGGCAGGAAAGTGACTCTGCCCAGGGAACCTGGGAGAAGCCTTGGAGCTGCCTGAGCCCCAGTGGAGCTGCAGCAGGATCTGCCCCCGGCACCGCTGGGATTTTGGGGGGGGGGAAAGACTGGGGCCTGGCAGGGGGTCTCCTGTGGTGTGGGCGGACATGGCGGTGTCGGGTAGGAAGGGGAGAAGCTGGAGTTGCGGGGGGGTCAGTGGGTCGTGGGCGGGGGAGGGGTTGAACTGTCTCTATGCAGCCAGGAAATCCCGAGGGGAGAAGTGGCAGGTGGGGGGAGGGGAGTTAATTGGATCCTTTCCCTGTTTGTGCCACTTGCCTCTCACCCCCCCCCCGATACAAATTCTCTCTAGTTCTGCCCTTTTCTCTCTCAGTATCTCACACATGACTATAAAATCTGGGGAGATTCCCCCCTTTTCCTCTCAAATGATCAGCTCTCTCATTTCCCCTGATTTCCCCCATTCTCTCCATGAGTCTCAAATGTCAATTTAAAATCTTCTCTGAGGGGGGTTTTCCCACCCATTTTATCTGCAGCGATTTGTCCTTGTTTAGGTGGGAAATTGTTGCCCTGAGTCATTCCCCAAAACATGGCTGCCCCTGGATTGGGGATAGGATGGGATGCTGGTTCTCTGCCAGGGCCAGGAAGGGAGGAGCAAGTGTCCCCCATGGAGACTGCCCAGACCCCGGTTTCCCAATCCCACCTGCTGTCCCCTAACTACCAACACAGTTGCCCCCAGCAATCAGTTGCCAGTCACCTGCCCATCCCCCACTGATGCCCCCTTCCCTCATCCAGGGAACCTTCCAGCTCCCCCGCCCTGCCCTTTGCCCTCTTAAATCAGCTCCTCAAAGGGCTCCCTGCTGCCCATGTCAATGTAGTGGTGGGAACCATCACTTTGTGTTTTTGTATTGGACAGTCGTATAAAATCCAATCCAACAGTCCCCCTTTTCCACTAGCTGGTTAATAGCAACATAAAATCCCCTCAGATCTTGGTGTCTTTCTCTCATGTTATCAATTGCGTAGTTTGTGACACGTTTTCTCTGCACATCTCAAAGATTCATATAAAAGATCCTAAACATTTGCCTCACTTCTCTCTGGTTATCTATTTCTAATTGAATATATCCTGAGATTTTCCCGTCTCTCTAATTATAAAATCTCAGATTTACATCTTTTCTCAGATTCTTGAACATGGATATAAAATGTTTGCAAATGTTGCCAATTTCTTCTTTATTCGTTTATCAAATATTCATGTGAAACACTCAGATTTTACCTCATATCAACAACTGATATAAAATCCCTCTGATTTTCCACTTTCCTCTCTATAATTTGAAAAATGGATCCAAAATCTCTCAGATTTCCAGACTTTCTTTTTCATTTCTGAACATTGATCTCATATCTCAGGTTTTCCCTCTTTCTCCGTCATTATAAAATGTCAATTAAAAATCCTCTCAGGTGTGGGGCCATTCCCCATGTTTCTAAATCCCAGCAACTTCTCCTTACTTCGAGGGAACCTGTTGCCCTGAGTCGTTGTCCATCCTGGAGGTTGCAAGGGGTTAAATGGTCTGATGATCGTCTTTCCCCCTCTCCTTTGAGAATCATTTGTTCCCCCCTTTATGTCAGCTAAAATGTTTGCCGATGAAAGAGACCAGCCACATATTTAATACCCATCAAAACAGAGGCCTCCCCCTGTTTGGGGGATCGGTGGTTCCCAGCTGGTAACAGGACAGTTGGCTGGACCCTTTTCTTTTCTCTAGCTGGCACGGGATGAGGAGGTCACTCTGAGTGCAGTGTGGGTCCAAAAGTTTCCCAAACCCCATGACAAATGGTCTCTGTGAGGGGCTGCTTCCCGCAGTGCTAAGATGTAGCCACCTCTGGGGTGGATCCATGGTGGCCATTATTTGCTAGTGACAGGGCATGGAAATTTCTTACCTATTTTGGCCTTCCATTCTCCTGTTAAAGAAGCATCCCCAAGGGCTCCCTCTGCCTGTGCGACTGGCCAGCAGGGGGTGGTGATAACTTTTTATTCCCTTATCAGACACTGTGAGGTAACACTTTTGCTGGGGGAGAGGGTATCTGTGTGGGGAGATTACAGCTAGAGCTGAAGGGGCATTGTGGGAAGGGGAGGTGTTTGGGTGAATGGTCAGGGGGAACCCTAGTCAGGTTGGTGGGTTCTGGAGGTTTGGGGTTTCAGGGAGTGGTTCTGATGTGCCCAGCCCTGAGGCTATGGGTCCTGGAGGTGGGTCGCTGAGGGTCTGTTGGCTGCAGAACAGTGGGGGTGGGCATCTCTTGGGGGGGGCAGGGCGCGGGGTTAGAGGGAGCCTGGTGCTGTGCCAGGGGCTCTGTCTGGGCTTCCCCTGCTGGCTCTTGGGATCATTGCCATGCCCAGTGCACAGAGCTCGGGGAGGGGAGGATCCCTGATGTTAGGTCAGGGGATGTGAGGCAAGCAGTGTGAGGGGTGCCACTGTAAAGAATCAGTTTGCCCTCTGGTGGGAGGAGTTTCAGAGTAGCAGCCGTGTTAGTCTGTATCCGCAAAAAGAACAGGAGTACTTGTGGCACCTTAGAGACTAACAAATTTATTAGAGCATAAGCTTTCGTGGACTACAGCCCACTTCTTCGGATGCATACAGAGACACAGATACAGGTGGGAGGAGGGAGTCCCAGGCAAACAGCATGGCAGATCCTGCTGGAGGGCAGGTGGGGGTCCTAGGCAGGCAGTGGGGGAATCCCAGGCAGGCAGTGAGGGACTGACTTCCCAGTAGGGGGGTGTGACAATGCGGTTCTGGCGGAACCCAACTGAGAGTGCCAACTCAGGACAAATTGCTCAAACAGGCAGTTACAGCCCAAGGCTGGGGTTTTTTCCACCTCTAAGGCAAACCAAACCAGCCAGACTAAGAGGACTTTGGTCTCACCCCACTGGGTAACCGCAAGTCTCACAAGCAATCTCCTTAGACACTCCAGTTTCCCAGTATTACCACCAGTGCCACTCGTTAT